TTCAGCAAATATTACTTACAATATCTTCTTGTTGATTATAAATAAACAGTTTTTGAAAACTGGAACGCGAGACAGTTTGTTTATTCCTCAAAGCTGGATGTTTTGTATTTTGTTGACACGTTGTCGAGTAACCAATTCGGCAGTCATCGCACACGACCAGAGGTTAACGTAATCACTTACGTAAACACGAAGCTAAAACATTGACACTTAAAAGCTGCAAACTGTTTACAAAGTGAAAACAATCGAGGGCACCTGCGTACGTGCAAACTTTCCTGATCAGTTGGCTGACGGTTGTTAAGATGCTCTCGGTTACAATACTTTCATTATTAGCTGAATGAAGTAAGTTTCATTTCGAAAAATCATCTTTTCGGTAGAAAGGAATTTGAGATTCTCGGCTTCAGCGCAGCACAATTCAAAATTGTGTTTAAGATTATAACAATCTAATCCCTTTCCATACAGAGGTCTCACGCAGTCTCTAAACTTATAGAAAGTCAAACACAAAACTATCCGTCCTAATTTATTTTGTTAGACATTTTAGAAACTTCTGATATGCCTGGGATAGTTTAACAATTTCCCTCAGAAGTGGAAATCACAAAATCACAGCTAGATTTCTTTCCAAATAAATCTCTACTAACTGATTTTATGATATGATCACTTCTTAAACAACGCAGGTATTTTTACTTATGCAATCACAGTGACTAAGTTTGTTTATTCAATATGAGGCTAATTCCCATAGTTTTTCGACTGCTAAGGAATTAAGTAATCACTAGAAGCTTCTAGTGTTTTGAATGAAGACAATTAACTCGTAAAATTCCCGATCGCAGAATAATGAAATCTTTAAGCGATGTGGTTCTTGATGTTTTCCTTTCTTTCAACAACACGTCCAAATGTTATGGTAGCGTGATCTAGCCGTGTAGCTCAAGGGAAACCATTGTAACAATAAACTACGGCAAAACTATAAAAAAGAAAATGAGTTGAAAAGGGGTTGCAGTGTAAACTAGCTTAGTAGCTCAAGTTAAACTTTTTCAAGAGATTATTTTTTTTAATTGCGGCAATGAATACGCAGCAGATTTATTCGAAACCGATGATTGAGGGTAATTGACCATTTGATCTATTTTTCCATCAAAAGAAAAACAAACCTCCGTTATCACGAAAAGAGGAGGCAGACCCTTGCGATTTCTTTATTCGCGCGACCCCCTTTTATTTTCCGCTGACTGCACGAAAAACAACTGCAACAGGAAGTGCTAGCTTGAAGGCTACATCTCGTCTAACATTTAATTCGAGCTTAATGCGTGGTTCACGGCTATGTTCATGATTCTCTCTCTTCTAGAGGCCTCAGTTTCCCTAACTCTGCATTCAATTGCTATTGTTCTGCTTTTGTTCTGCTC